TGAAACTGTTCTGGATGCAGAACTCAGAGGAAACTCCAACAGAGACCCTCTGAAATGTTAGATCATCTGGACCACCTGCTCCTATTGGAGATTCTTTTAGGGGGTCTTCCTTCGTCAAACCTGATTTTTCTTAGCCCAGAATAAATCCACAGCTTCTCATTTCCTGTGGAAACAAAAGCTAAACCTCTTCTCCAAAGTAACAGATCTCTGTGAGTTCAAGGACAACCTGATCTACAGAGTGAGCTCCAGGACAGCCAAAGATACATGGAGAAATCCTGTCTCAAAAAGTCAAAAATTAAAAATAAAAATAAAAGAAATGGAGTTTAAAATAAAGACACATAAAGATGAAAAATATACAGAGAGTCTGGATACTGTATGTTATTGTGTTGTCTTTGAATTGTTTGATGGCTGAGGAAGGAGCAAAAGCTGCTAAAAGATATTTGATTATAAATGCTTCTGGATTAATCCAACATAAATATTTTGAAAATGCCTTGACTTCAAAATTTAAGTCAAAAAGTATGTTACAGAGACAGGCATGCCATGCAGAGTGAGGTTGGATATTTATTTAGTGGGTTATAGAGGGAAAGGGGAGAAGTAGAGAATGGGGAAAAGCAGAGAGAGAAAGAAAAACAGAGAGAGGGAGAGAGGGGGGGAAGGGGAGAAGTGGGGAGAGATAGAAAGGAAGGGAGGAAGGGACTCAGGCTGGAAGCAGAAGGAAAATCTGCTTGCCTTGGCCCACCAGGGAGGGAGAGGGTGGGGCTTGTCTCTTAAAGGGAAAGGACAAACCATTACACTCAGAGCCACAATAAAACTGGAATAAGGGCAGGTACCAATAACTTCTCTCACTCCAGGACTGTGGTTCTCAACCTTCCTAATGCTGAGACTCTTTAATACAGTTCCTCATGTTGTGGAGACCCCCCCCAGCCATAGAATTACCTTTTTTAAAGGATTTATTTATTTATTATAGATACAGTATTCTCAGTATTCTGTCTGCATGTATACCTGCAGGCCAGAAGAGGGCACTAGATATCACTACAGATAGCTGTGAGCCATCATGTGGTTGCTGGGAATTGAACTCAGGACCTTTGGAAGAACAAGCAGTGCTCTTAACCACTGAGCCATCTCTCCAGCCCCACAGAATCACTTTTGATGCAACTGTACAACTCTAATTTTCCTAGTGTTATGAATCGTAATGGAAATATGTGTTTACTGATAGCCTAGGGCATTCCCTGTGAAAGAGTTATTTGACCCCCACCCCCCCCCCCAAGAAAAGAGGTCGAGACCCAGAGGTTGAGAAACACTGCTCTAACACTTCCTACTAATCTATCCAATCCTGTTCTTGCTCTGCACTAAGACCTCCTCCACTCAGATCAAGTGGTTATTTGTGTTTTACTTATTTGTTTGAGATCTAGTCCAGGCTGGCCTCAAACTCACTATGCAGCTTGAGGATGGCCTTGAATTCTTGATCCCCCTGCCCCTACTTCCTGAGTGTTGGGATTAGAGAAGTGAGCCAAAGAGCTCTGGAAGAATGATTATTTGAAAACAAGTTGTTCTATTTCTAAACCAGTGGCTTCCACGTTACAATGATTCCCAGGTGTAGTGAGTCCACAAGTATTATACACTAAATGTACAGCCGACAGGTCAGTTGGTGTAGAAGGGAGCTGCAGGCTGTGTTCCTGCCACCCAGCTCCCGGCCGCCTGGCTAGCTTATGCCCTGAAATAACAACACACAAACTGTATTCTTTTAAACACTGCTTGGCCCATTAGCTCTAGCCCTTACTGGCTAATTCTCATATCCCGATCAACCCATCTCTAATAAACTGTGTAGCACCAGTCTTACCGGGAAAGATTCAACATGTCTGACCTGGCAGCTTGCTTCATCGCATCTGCCCTGGAGAGCAGAAGCATGGCGTCTTACCTCACTTCCTCTTCCTCCCAGCATTCTGTTCTGTTTACTCCACCCACCTATGTTCTAACCTATGAGGCCAAGCAGTTTCTTTATTAATTAACCAATGACCTTCCCACATCAGGTTGAACTATCCACGGGAAGTGTACACACACATACACATCCACTTAGACTAAGCCATTTTTCTAGCTTTTTTTAAAATATTCATTTATTTATTTATTTTATATAATATTCTGTCTGTGTGTATGTCTGCAGGCCAGAAGAGGGCACCAGACCTCATTACAGATGGTTGTGAGCCACCTTGTGGTTGCTGGGAATTGAACTCAGAACCTTTGGAAGAGCAGGCAATGCTCTTAACCACTGAGCTATCTCTTCAGCCCCAGACTAAGCCATTTTTGCAGAGCTACGTGAACACCTGTCCTTTGGATAAGTCACTGTCAATTCTGTAGAAATCTTGTGAAATCATGGCATTTTCCCCTTCTATAGTATCCCAGCAGTGTAAAACTGACTTTTCCTGTAGGGTAACTGGATACCTGCCCTCACAACATGAAGCCATGGTGTGAAAAGGATTTGCTCAGTCAAGCCTTTGTTTTTATAGCCAAAATCTACATAAAAATAGTCCTCCACACTATATTTACTGACAGTAGTCACTGATAAGAAAGGAGCCTCATATTACAGGAGGTTATATCTGTTCTAACAGCAGACTCAGGAAGGTGTAATCTACTGGCCCTTGCTCTAAGTTATTAATATTCTGAATTTACCCTTCACCTTAATTTCAACTAACATAAGTTCATAGCCCAGGAAATTAACTGTTTATACAGGGAAAAGGCTGAGTCACTAAAACTAGCTTCAGAGAGAAAAATTCTCACCTGGGCACCCTGCTGGAGTCAAAAACTGGGTCCCCAGTAGAGATTTCTTTTTTCCTTTTAACTCAACCAGCTAGACTCTCATACAAATCATGCCCAGCTGCCAGGGAACTTCACAGCCATGCCCCTTCTGAAACATAAGGTGTCTCCTTGCCAGATGAAAATGCATGCTTGATATTACTTCGACTATGCCCAAAGGGAAAAAAGAAAAGAAAAAGAAAATGCATGCTTGGTACTCCTGTTACCACCTATGGAACTACTAACTTGTCTGTACACCTATATAAACTGAAAGTTTTGTAGAGATTACCCCTTCTGCCTTCTGTTTTTTCTTCTCCCTTCTTTCATCTTTCCCCAAGGAATAAAGAAACATGCAGGAAAAAATATGCCTAAGTCAGTCAGTTTTGTCCTACCCCTCGGATCCAGTTCGTAAGCCAGTTTTCCTTTGCCCTAGAAGTCCTGTTCTGAACCCTGAGGGAGTGCTGAGGCTGGTATTCAATGGCTTCTGATACCCAGGCTTACCGATGTGAACCCTCATTCCTTAACACGTCCCTATCCCTTTGCAGGCCAGCCCCATGAGTCTTCCTTTTTATTTTTGTGACTAGGTCTCATGTAGCCCAAGCTGGCTTCCAACTTGCTCTGTAACTGAGGATAACCTTAAACTTTTAATCCCCCTGCCTCCACTCCCTAAGTACTGGGGTTATAGGTATATGTCATACACTCAGTTTTATGCCATGTTGGAAATCGAACCAGGTACTTCGTGCATGCTGGGCAAGCATTGTATTAAGTTACTTCCCAAGGCCTCATAGGTCTTCTTGCTGCTCAAATCAGTCAAACTGTTGTGGCTCAGAGAATTACATCTACTGTACTGCTGCCGCAGACACCTTTCTCTCAGATCCTCAGGGAGGCAGCTTTGTCCCCATTCAGTTCTTTAGTCAAACTCCATCTCACAAGTTGGATATGGTTGCTGCCTCACCCCTGAAATCAAAGCAACCAGGAAGATGAGACAAGAGGATTGACAATTTTGAGGCCATTTGGGGTTACACAGTAAATTCTAGGTGAGCCTGGGCTACAGAGCAAGGTAGTCTCAAAAACAAAATGTTTGGTAGTACTCACCTGTGCTTCCTGCAAGTGCTCATCTGAGCTTCCTGGAGTGCTCACCTGCACTTCCTGTGAGTGTACTCATTTGCACGTCGGAGGTGGAGGTAGAGGCAAGAGGACGCCTTCCTCAACTATACCAAGTTCAAGGCCAGCCTGAGTTACAAAAGACCCTAAACAAAAACAAAACCCAGGGGCCACAGAAATGGCTCAGCTGGTAAAGATGCTTACTGCTAAGCCTGATGGCCTAAGTTTGACCCTCAGAACCTTTGTGGTTGAAGGAGAGATCCATCTCCTGCAACTTGTCCTGACATCCATGTATAAGCTATATATAGCTCAAATTTTTGCACATACACCCTCTAAAATAAACAAATGAATGTAAAAATAAACAAAGAAGCAACATCGTTCAGAGGCTTTTCAACATCAAGCAGCCTCCCCCAGCCCTGCTCTCTAGCCTGTCCTCAACCCGTAATTATTTGGTTGCTACTATTGTGTTTACTCATCTGTCTTCTGAATGGAACATCTGACTTCTGTGTGAGGCAGCGATCCGCCACATGCTCACTGTAGTGGTATCACATGACCTACATCAGTGCTTGAGACATCACAGGTGTTAAATAATTGCCCACCGGGTGAATTCAATGAATAAGTGAATGAACATCATGTGAAGGCCTGTAATTCTGTAATCCCAGTACTTGGGAGGTGGAGGTAAGAGAATCAGGAATCAGACTAGAGTACAGGAGACTCTTGAGAGAGTGTGTGTGTGTCAGGTGACTAAGGGGTCATCTCATCTCTGTATCTGGCACTTTCTCACCAGCAAGCATCCTCTGGGAGAGACAAGCCATTGGCCACAATGTTCCTCTCTTGCAGGTTCTGGTTATAGTCCCCCAACGATCATTGTTATCAATATTTTGCATTTACATCAGGGCAGTGTGTCGTCTAGTTTTGGGGTTTTGTTTTTGTTTTTTGGAAGATCTTACAAGAATATTCATCAGGATGGCTCAGTGGGTAAAGGTGCCTGCCGCCAAGTCTGATGATCTGAACTTAATCCTGAGGACCCACAGGGTGGAGAGAACCAACTCCTCCAAGCTGCTTTCAGTCCTTCACGGCCACACACACACACACACACACACACATCAATATTTTAATTTAAAAAAAATATTTTCTCTGAAAAAAAAAAGAAAAAAATTTTCCTGTGTTTTACAGAGGCTCACAGAGGATGCAGGGCTGACCCAGTCCTTCGTCCTACTTAGTTTGCAGACAGTGCTAATGGTGGCTGATGTCAGTCATTCCGTCTTGTTTGGAAGCTGCCTCCTGCAAAGGCTGAACATGACAAGTCTTGCTTGCTCTGCCTGTGTCCTTTCGGTTTTCTGGACTCCAGTTCCGCTGGAAGGACTTTCCTAATGGGAGTCCAGTTAAGTAGCTTCCTTGTCTTCACATACCAAATCCTCCGTTCTCTTCACCGCTTCCCTGACCACCCGAAAGGGGGGTCCGTGACCAGGCACCACCACATCAGCCACACCCAGGATCCTCTCCCGGCTCCGCTGCTGAGCTACTGGGTCTTCGCTCAGGGCCTGCCAAGAGTCCTCGTCCCCAAGGCGCTCGAACACATCGCCAGCCACCACCACGGTGCCCAGGCTGGTGCCCTCCACTACGACGCTCACATCGCGCTGTCCTCCGTGGCCCGCCGTGGCCCACACCTGCAATCCGGAGCCTAGTATCAAGGGCTGCGTTTCACACAGTCCATGAGGCAGATAGAGGCCCCCGGGAAGGCAGAAGTCATGGGACACTAACAGAGCCGCCTGGAGAAACAGCCCTAGGTTCCCGATGTGATCTGAGTGCCCGTGGGTCCCCACCACCAGAGTCACGTCTCCGGGGGCCACGCCCTGCCTAGCGAGGGCTTCCAGCAGCGCCTCCCGAGCCCAGGGGCCTCCGGTGTCGACGAGAATGGGGCCACGCACCGCCTCCTCCAGGGCAGTCTTCGTGCTGCCGTCTGCGGACGGGGCCATTGGGCGGCTGGAACCCGAAGCCCAGGCCCGGGGCAGGACGAGGGTCACAGTGCCATCAGCACGGACCGCGTTGCCCGTCCCCTGCGGCTCCGCATAGCCGCGCTGCAGAACCATCACCGAGTAGGAGTCGCTGGTCGCCAGCAGAGAGGTCTCACCGTGCAGAGGCTCAGTCCGCACTGGACCGCTCATGGCAGACACGGACGACTGCCCAGTACACTCCAATTCTTACGGCAAGCCCTGCCACGCTTTCCTTCTCAACTCGTTGCCACCCCCAGTACTTAAAGTGGTATCGTCCTCCACCCCTCGCCTAAAATGGTGTCGCCCAACCCGCCTTTCCACGCGACCTCGCCTTCCTAGACTTCTTGGCCAAGGTCCCAAAGGCTGGTAGTCCGTAGCTCTTCACCCATCAACATTTTAAGGTACCTTTTTCTCCTTCGCCTCTAGCTCTAGCCGTTGACTAATTTGGAACAAACTATCGCTGTTCTTAAGTCTTTTTTACTCTGGGAAAATTCAAAAGTCGGGAAAACGGGAGGAATTTTGCTCTTCACAGGCTCCCGTACAAATTTTGGCAGCTGAAGCGCTAGCCACGTTGCTTAACTCTAATCTCTGTACAGTTTACACCATGTGTTGCACGAACTTCGTTTTTTTGTTGTTGGTTTTTTTTTTTAAAAAAAGATTTATTTATTTATTATGTATACAACATTCCTTCCATGTATGTTTGTATGCCAGAAGAGGGCACCAGATCTCATTATAGATGACTGTGAGCCACCATGTGGTAGCTGGGAATTGAACTCAGGACCTCTGGAAGAGCAGTCAGTGCTCTTAACCTCTGAGCCATCTCTCCAGTCCCTTTTTTTTTTTTTTTTTTGTATTTTCTGATACAGGGTCTCATGTAGCCCAGGATGGTCCTGAACTTGTTATATAGCTGAGGAAGACCTTAAGCTCTTGATCCTTTCGCTTCCGCCTCCCAAGTGCTAGGCTTATAAACGTGTACCTCTACTCTGGTACGGTTGCTTCCCCAACCCCTGCCAGTATCTTTGGGGCGCGAAATTATCAGCACCATTAGCTGCTGATAGACAGCAGGCCAAAGACTCCACTGTTGGGTGCTCGGATAATGTGTACCTGTTTGAAACGGGGCTCAGTCAAGTCATACAGAAAAGATTTAATCGCGATATAGAAAATATGGCACCTGTAAAATATGAAACAGATCACATATCTACCCACCTAACCTATCAGCATACCTTACACTGCCCTGTTCACAGACTGATGGTGTACAGTCTCATGTTTGCAGGCTGTGTATATGGGCTGGTGAGCGTCCCTTTTCGGCTTCTTATTTTGAGAAAGGGACTTATGTAGTTCTGGTTGCTCTTGAACTGCCATGTAGCTGGATGATAGCTTTGAACTCCTGATATTCTTGCCTCCAATTCTCAAGTGCTGAGATTATAGGGGTTTGCCACCATCAGTTTTTTTTTTTTGTTTTTGTTTTTTTGTTTTTTCGAGACAGGGTTTCTCTGTGGTTTTGGAGCCTGTCCTGGAACTAGCTCGTGTAGACCAGGCTGGTCTCGAACTCACAGAGATCCGCCTGCCTCTGCCTCCCGAGTGCTGGGATTAAAGGCGTGCGCCACCACCGCCCGGCCACCATCAGGTTTTATGTGATCCAGTTCACATCCTTGTCCATACTAGGTAGACATTCTACCAACTGAGCTACATCTGTAGCCGTCCTCTGGCCTCTTGAACAGGTCAAAATAGACCCCCTTCAAAAAGCAAAGAGACTTTCCCACAGCTCATACCATCACTGACCAATTGGTGCAGGTGAGGACCAAAAAATACAGAGAAAGCTTCAACACCATCACCACACGCATTGGGTCAATTATGTGGCGGCATGTGGCTCATCTCTGAAGGCAAAACTTGCCCCCGCTTCTTTGCACATTTTTCTCCTCTCATGTTGCCGTTCTGGGTCCCCAGGATCATGCCTGAGATCACAGGGAAAGGACGGTTACAAGCCTTGACGTGGGGAAAGGAGAGTGAGTTTTGAGCTCCTGGGGGCTCAAAGGTCCTCTGGGTCATGCTTGGAATTGCCTGAAGCCTTGGTGATCTCCTCCTCTTCCTCCTCCTCTTCCTCCTCCTCTTCCTCCTCCTGCCCATCACTGATCTTCTCCTTTCCAGTCCAGGTTTCCTGTAGACAAGCTAGGTGGAATGAGAGCAGACAATTCAGTAGTAATGCTGGGGTGTGGGAAGCAGGAGAGGAGAGGCCCAACCTCTACACTTACCAGTCTCAGAGGCTGGAAGCACATGACCTTCGCAGAGAAAATGCTGCAGGGGCTGCTCCTGATGGTGGAAATACCAGTCTCCCACAACATCTTCAAATTCCTCCAGCATTGTCTCACACTGGGGAAGAGCAGGAAGAGGATCTGCTCAGACGGGCTTTGGAAGACCTCTGCTCTTCATTCCCTGTCTTCCTTCTCCATTGACTGTATTACTAGATGTGTGATTCTCTTCATACAACATTTGCCAGGATCTATTACTCTCTGATACACAGTATATCTACGCAGCTAGGTGGCCATGTCTGTAGTTCCAGGGGGGAGGTGAAGGCAGAAGGGTCATATATTTAAGCTCATTCTCAACTACATAGCGAGTTTTCAGACCAGCCTGGACTACGTGCAATCCTGTCTCAGAAACTCAGTATGTCTCCAATTCTAGCCTGTAAAGTAGGAACTGGTAATCACACCTGGGACATGGGAGTAACACAAGGCAGCAGTGTGTGGCCCAGAACCCAGAACATAGTAGGCACCCAGTAAGCAGTGAGAGATATTATCAGCCTTGCAATATAACTTCTTTTTTTAAAATTTTTTTTATTTATTATGTGTACAATATTCTGTGTGTCTGCCTGCAGGACAGAAGAGGGCATCAGATCGCATTTCAGATGGTTGTGATCCACCATGTGGTTGCTGGGAATTGAACTCAGGACCTTTGGAAGAGCAGGCAATGCTCTTAACCACTGAGCCAACTCTCCAGCCCCGCAATATAACTTCTCGATAAATGGCACTGCCTTCACTCTTTGTCTCCTCCCTGCTCAAAGGCAGACATCCCCTGCACTGAGTTCCAGGATGTAGCTCTTCTCACCTCTGGACAGAGTAACGTCCCATCCTACCTGCTTCTTGAGGAATGTGACCTCCACACTGGGCTCGTCCCACAGCTCCAGAGGGATCCCCAGATCCACTTTCACTCCCTTCTGTACCAGGCCTTTCAGTGTCGCCATGGTCTGACTCTGACCCTGCGGGATGGAAAATTTGGTATCAGTCCCACCCATCTTCTCCATTTTCACCACATCAGCCCTATCAACTGCTGGAGTCTCCATAGTGTATTCTGTGAGGGAGTCTGATTGCCAGTCATTCCTCGAAGATCTTCGATGATATAGGTCTCTGTGTCTGAGAAACAGGTCCTGGGCTGGCAAAAAAAGCTCAGTTGGTAAAATACCTGAGGACCTGAGTTCAATCCCCAGAATCCATATTTAAAAAAAAAAAAAAAAAGGCATGGCAGCCCAAGCTTAGTTGCACCGCTGGAGAACAAACAGGTCGATTCTGGGGTTCTCTAACTAGCCAGCTTAGCCTGTTTAGAAAGTCAGTAAGCCAGTGAGACCCTGTCTCAAAAAACAAGGTAGGAACTGGGTGTGGTGACACAAGCCTTTAATCCCAGCACTCTTAGAGGCAGAGGTAGCTGGATCCCTGTGAGTTCAAGGCCAGCCTGGTCTACAGAGCAAGTTCCAGGACAGCCAAGGCTATTACACAGAGAAGCCCTGTCTCGGGAAAAAAAAAACAACAAACAAGTTGGGTATGGCAAGATGTCTTCGTGGGTAAAGGTGTCCCCCACCAAACCCAGTGACCTGAATTCTATCCACAGGACCCACATGGTGGAGAGACCCAACTACCACAAGCTGTCCTCTGACCTGAGTAGTGTGTTGGGACACATTTCACATATGAAATAATTGTGGAAAAACAAAACAAGGTGGATGGGTCCGGGGGAAAAAATGCCCAAAGCTGTTCTGGGGCCTCTCTACATGCCTGTGCGCACATACATGAACACACAAGGGCACATGCAAAGCCTTGAGGGAAAGAAACGAAAAGCTGCAGGGCCGTTCCTAGGAAACGCCTGACCTTGGCATATCTCAAGGAGCCCTTGCGCTCGGCGTGAACACTGTAGTCCAGGATCCGCTCACACAAATTCTCCAAAGCCTCTTCCAATCTTGTCTCGCTGTGGGAACAAGGAAATAAGACTCCGTGACGTGTCAGGAGCCCGGCAGCTCCTCCGAGGTTGGTTAGAAAGTGGGTAAGCACAGAGACTCACGAAAGGCTGTAGGGCACGTGTCTCTTCCTCTTGCCCGTGTCTAGCACCTGCCCCAGCTCCAGCACTTCTCGAGATCGACCCGTGCGACTCAGCTCTTCCTGAAGTTCCATGCTCAGCAGCTTACACACTGGTAGTAAGGAGAGACCCAAGGGGATGAGGACAAGTGACCCCACCAGCGTCGTTCTGCCCATGCTCCAAGGCAGCAGAGCACAGAAGCGAACATGCTGGAGTCAGGAAGACCGGAAGATGATACTGACTCCATCTCAGTAGCTGTGTGACACTTGCTGCATCTCAGCTTCTTCACCTCTAACACGGGGGTGAGACTGTGTCCCTTATAACCGTGTGATGAAAATTTAGGGCCATCAGCAAATGGAAAACCCCCAGGGTCGTGTCTGGCATACAGTGAGCACTGTGTAGGTACGTGGTGCCACTCTGACCTTACTCATTGAGCTACTCTTCTATGGATACTAGAGTGCAGATAGCATAAAACCCATCACGACGTGGCCACGAAACTGCCAGTATAATCTGGGACTGTCACATAAACAATGATGACACAGTGGTAGTGCTCCAGGGTTACAATCAAGAAACCTGGTTCCAGAACTGGTAAGATGGCTCGACAGGTAAAGGAACCCGCTGCCAAACCTAGAGGACCTACATGGTGGAAGGTGAGACCCGATTCCTCCATGTTATTCTCTGACCCGCACACACATACACCAAACAAACAAACAAAAAGAGACTTAATCTCACAGGAAATGGAAAAATGCAGAATTCATCCAAGGCCACCTCCTCTACTATAATTTCAATAAGGATAGACATATCTTTTCCACTGTTGTCTTCCTCAGTACCTTATCTGGCACAGTAGACTGGGTTCTCAAAAGTAAGAGTCTCCTCTAGAAGTGACAAGCTACACGGGTA